CGAAAGGTCGCTCATATACCTGCACACTCGCAGTGACCGACGATTAACGCGAGATCGACTGGGGGAGGCGCGGGGGGGGGGTCGTTGAACCGACGTTCCGTTCATGGCCATAAGTTCGACCTCATCCACGACCAGACGGCGTTTAGTGATAGACGGAACCGGAGACCCCGTGTTGTTGTCGTAGTTGTCCTCCATTGTAAGTGGTAGTCGACGGAAGAACTGACCAGGCCCCATGCCTGGAGCAAAAAAAAAACTGGATCAGTTCCAAGATTTTTTTTTCTGTTGGGAGCTATTTTCGCAAACAACACAACTTTCCTTCAGATCAAGAAGCGCGATTTGCCAAAGTCGGAATATGAAGCACTTAAACAATATAAGATAATGTCAAAAGATACAACGTGTCAGACTCACCAAAGTCGATCAACGTCGGTGTCGGTGGCATGTGTCGGTGGCAAATGCTCATGTACCACCCGGCCCCGGAGCACTTCACTTCACTTCACTGCACTGCTACACTGCACTTCCCTCCACCTCACTGCCTCCCGGAGCAGGGGCACGCACTCCCATGCCACGCACGACGGATTCCACCGATAATAGCTGATTTAAGCTATCATTCCAGAGCTATCACTCGGTGGCATGTGCCCGGAGCACTTCACTTCACTTTATTTCACTTCATATACCGGAGCACGTGCACACACTCCCACCACGACCAACGGACTCCACTAAAATGGCGCAACACGTGGCCGGAAACAGCTGGCACGCGCATGCGCATATCGCTCTGCGCCGTCAAAACGTGCTAAAGGGCTGGTGATAAGACTCCCAGAGATTTGTAAAGCAGGGCTAAGCTACTTTCTTTGGCGCCAATTTCAAATTTGTTTCCTCTGTAAGCATGTCCGGTTCTATTGTGATACTAACGTAAGCACCATATTCAGCATTACCAACTTCTAAAACACTTAACCCATTAACGCCCGTAATTCCCCAGCGAACGCACACGGATGCCCATTTGCTGAATTGGAGTAAATGGACCCCTAAGAGTACCATGTGAGTTTGGTAAATGTGCGAAATCTAGAAATATCCTTTTTTGAAGTGGTACCTTTTGGTACCACTGGGCGTTAGTGACATCATTTTTTCGCAAAAACATGCATTTCAGCAGCATACAAGATATGTTTGCCCAGAAGACTTTGCAACTCATTCGTGAAAATTAGAATATTAGACGACATACTCATCGGCAACATTATGGCAAACACTCGCCTCTGATGTTTTCCAAGTTGTCAGATTATGACGTCATTACTGACATGCTATGCCTAACTCACTGCCATAAAGATCGATGCTATTATTCATGGTGGTGGGTCGGCCTAGTGAACTGTACTGTTTCAAGCAAGGATGCGGAGTCGATGGATTTTCGGTGACTCTGACTCTGACTCCAATTTCATACTTTCACTTATCACCTCCCACTCCGACTCCGACTCCAGGTATGGCTGTCGACTCTGACCGACTCTAACCCCGACTCCATGTCCGCAGCCCTGGCATTTGCGCGGAGTCGCGGGATTTTCGGTGACTCGAACTCCGGCTCCGGCTTCCACAATCGACTCCGCCTTTGACTCCGACCTCGGCTAGGGATATCGACTCCGACTGACTCCGACTCCGACTCCACAGCCCAGGTTTCAAGGCTTGCAGGGTCGTTTATTTTCCTAAAATACACAAATATTTCTATACAAATGACAAAACTAACAGTTTTCTGAACGTCATTACCAGCAGCGCGCCGAGGCACACGCTGCAGCAGTCAACACGCATACCCTGGTCAATATAGGTCTTACTTTTAGCCGTGATGCTTCTCTCCATGTAAGTACGTCTCCGAGCAGAGCGCCACTCGCCACTTGCCACAGATGACTTTAGTGGCAACCACGTACTTTGCAGACGCTTTGCCTTCGTGGTAGGGCCAGCTCTAATCCAGTGTCCGAATCCGTCGCGGTGTAGGTATGCATCCCATTCTCAGGTATACGTACCACTGACCAAGCAGCAGGTCTGCAGGAACTCGTCTGTCAATACCATCCGCATCAATATTTCCTCCGTAGGTATATTACCGCATAAACTGCACTGGGATATGACGTCGTTACCCATTTCTTCCTGAACAACAGCAACAGCCTTCCTAAACAACAGGACGATCTCAAAACCGTGCCCCTTCCCCTCCCCCAAGCAAAATTCATTTGGGGCCTTAACCACATGGTTGCTCCACAGGGATACCCGCAATAATACCAGCAATTATAGGGTAAAGCATCCTATCCAACATCCATGCGTCACGTTAGCAGTGAATGACCAATCAGCAATGAATGCTCCAGCTTTTTTGGTGGCGACGAAGGCGCTCCCCTCTCCGACCTCTTTTTAGATTATATTTGCCGCAAAGGGCGCACCACCCCTGAGAAACGTTACACAAACGACCTTCAACCTACATAGGCACCCCTTTTTCGCATGAAGACGCCCCCATAACTTTCATAGGCGCCCCTCTTTCGCATGTAGGCGCCCCTATGGGCATCAAAAACGCCTCTGTAGACCTTACAGGCGCCCCTCGTTCCCAGTGAGGCGCCCACAGGCGCCTATGGGCTTCACAGGCGCTCCTTCCTCTTTCCATAGGCCTCAGAGGCGTGGCCATCTTTGGGATGCAGGGACCGATCTTTCGTATGGAAGCTCCATTATGGCGTTCATGGGCGCCCCTTTTGCATGTGGGCGCCTCTACTATGGGCGTCATGGGCCTCAGAGGCATTCCTATAGGCTTCACAGGTGCCCCTCTTTCGCATGCAGGTGCCCCTATGGGCATCCTCATTTGCATTGAGGCGGCCCTAAAAACTTCATGGGTGCCCTTCTTTCGCATATAGGCGCCCTTATGGCCTCAAAGGCGCCCCTCTTACACACCCAATGCCCTCGGGCGATGGCGTCCCCTTGAGGGATGGCTCCCCAAATAACAATTTGTCCGCATCACTCCGTTGAGCGTTGTTTCGCCTCTGCAAAGACCGCACACGCATGAAATTGCGAAAAAACGCTTAGCCTACCGCCCAGTGGTACCAAAAGGTACCAACAAAAATTCTGCCCCTAGGAACGCCAGGATTCATGACGAAACATCTGATTTTTTGCTTAACTGCAGCTGCGAGTTCTTCATCTTTAATGTAAGCACACTTCGGCTAAAAAAATATTTACAGACAAGCAACCACAAACGTTTTTATCTCCCAACGTCAGCCCATGACTGCGGCGCCTCGAAACACTCCGAGCTTTTCTGCACCTCAGACGAAGCTCTTCGTATCAGCACGTTATTTATACCCAACAGCATATCCGGAAAGGTCATTATCCGATGACAGAATCTATCTGGCGAAAGAACGTGTGGTCTCAACGCAGCAAACCAAAATGTGCGTTGGTACCTTTTGGTACCGCTGGGCGTTAATGGGTTAAAATGGTTCTAATTAGAAATCCAGCTTGAAAGAGCACTCACTGATGGACTGGGTACTAGCAGAAGTAGACGTTAAGCTCAGTAGAAGAATAGGTGATCTAAACTTATAATATTTGATGGGAATGTTAGCTATCATTAGCACAGTATTAGCACCATGCTTCTTTGTAAATACGTCGTAGGGTTCTTTTGACGCTAAAAGGTGCTACGAATAGCAGCCGTTAGTACCCCAAATGCTAAACTTTTTTTACAGTGTGAGGTCATAGTCTTGTAGCTGTACTTACACCTGCCGGTGACCTGGGATCACAGTTCACTATGTGTGCTTTTGAGCATAACGTCGACACTGTAAGACGGGCCTGGAGGGATGGTACAGGAGACAAATGCTCCTATAAAACTTCGCTCTGAAAAACGAGTGATGGCTAATAATTGATAGTATACCAGCATACCAGTTGATACGACTCTTCATCTTACTAAACCTCTATGTGTTTCACTCTCTCATGAAGTTAAGTGCTATAACGGAACTATTGCCTGCAAAAATATCAGCACATCACATAATTACTGTGTTTGCAACTGTGTCTGCAGAGGACGAATAAATGAAAATTTGACCAGAATGCGTTTCAATTCAAGTTTCAATAGACACAATGCCTCCACGTAGATGAGTAAATTACCTACATTCAGACATAGGCGCGGGACCCGGGGGGGGGGGGCAGTGGGGGCAGCTTGCCCCCCCCCCCCAACTCTGGGGCCGTGGGGGCGGTGCCCCCACAGCTTTGAGACGGAATACCCCACTTGTTTTGCAAATATTTTCTTTTTTGTTGAAATAAGCCAAGGGATGAAAAATAAGTGGCCTAAAACCGGTGAGAAAACTAGATTTGGGGGTAGCCTATGTTGACCTCTATTATGGTGTGCCTACCCCCCCCCCCCTCCAGTCTGAAATAAGTTCCCGCGGGCCGCGCCCCTGCATTCAGACGATCCAGGAGCATGACGAATGGTTCTCTTACTCGGTACCTAACTGATTTTGGAAAGCATCCATAGATGGCAGCACTAGTGAACGCCTGCATGTAGGCTGTGCCGCAGAGCATGGGGACAGCGCGATGAGCATTTTCTCACCCCGGCCTATACATTCTCGGTTCTCCAAACACCACCAGGGAAATCCGAATCTGCTTTCAGCACTTGGCCTGCCTTTGTCACCTGCCTGACTCGGTGCTATATCGTGTCGTCTGGTTTGATCATTGATTGATTGTCCCCCTCCCTTCCCGTTTGTCGCCTCGTTCGGCCACTGACCGCCCTGTTGTCACGGCCCAATCTTACCAAATGCCGTGAATGCGCATTCACGGCATTTGGTAACATTCAGAACTATTCCACATTCACTTATTCATTCGTTATGGCGACATTCATAATCATTCACGCTATCAAAATCATTGGACAAGATTACCTGAAAGTATATAAAAAGGACATCTTTGATATCAGTGCCGTAAACTCCGGCCAGTGCTGCCAAATCCTATTCACGGCATTGGTAAGATTGGGCCCAGGTTCGGCCCCTGACCGCCCCCCCCCCCCCCCGCTGCAGCGTGCCGTCTGGTTCAGCGAGCTCAGCCCGCGGGTGTTTCGGTACCCCTCTGAGTCGACACTACTGGAGGCACAACCTCCGGAGCCGGAGCCGCCCCGGTCTGAGACGGAGGCCACCACCGGCTCTGACGAGGACTGGAACGGGACGGAGGAAAGCGACCGGCCGGCACCCTCCCAGGGACTTCTCGGCTCCTCGCTGCCGGCCAACCCCGCAGCGAAACCCTCCAGTGAGGCAAATCGAGGGCTGGGAGAGGGGGATGTCAGCGGCAATGGAATATGTAGACCCCATATCCCTATATTTAATTTTTGTTATTGTATTTGGTGAATGCACTTACCAAAGGGACTGGACAACATTCTCTAAATATGGTTCTTGTCACAAAGATTGTACAGCATCGATATTTGCGAGGGTCCCACTCCCACCTACCATACACATTTTGTTTGTGTCACAGGAACCAAAGTCTTTTCATAACAAAATGTTTGATAGTCAAAACGGAATCGAACGAAATGGGTACCAACCCAGTCGACACAGAACTGACAGAACCAGCCCAACACCCGCGTGTCGAAAATGACCCTTCCTCGCGTTGCGGAGCTAGCGGGTCGCCCCTTCCATTCTCATTTCTCAGAAACTTATTTTGAATTTTTGACGAAACTGACGACAATTTACAGATATATACCAAGTGTACAGAGGAAGCAAATGGCACAAGTCGCACCTCCTAACTCCAGTGGGCTTTTCGGCGGCCAAGACCCACAGAACTTTCCAGGGCAAGCCAGTTGCTGACAGTATGATACCAGTCGTAGAAACTGTAGCATAATAAGCTTTCTCCTGCAGTGGTAGATAGCCCGAATAGCTCCGATATGTCCTCAGTGCACGCTCCAATGCCGTCAAGGTATAGATAGGCGTTATGTGATGTTAATTTGCCATCAGCTACAGCGACATGTTACACTAATCCGTCCTTACATTCCTAGTGCACTAACATATGTGCAAAGAATCGGTAGACACTAGAAGTTTCGAAGCAGCTAGAACTAAACAGATGGAAAGATTTTAGGTATGTTGCACAATGCACTTAAGAGCTACGGAATTCGATCTACGCTTATGTGACGAGCCATTCCTTATGTGTCTTTCTCATTTAGCACTAGCTTCAGCATTTGCATGTAGTATCCGTTGTCTCGTGAAAATAATTAGCGTTTTGGGATGGAAAACACTTGCATACAGCAGAAACCGGTTTAAGCCAAAGCAAACTGTGAGGTTTCCTAGTTAGTCGGGAGACGTTATTGTATTGGCATTTGCCATGGTGTTGGACCCCGCATGTTATTTCACGTGTTCACCGTTTCCATGGTTACGACTTTGGATTTGTATGAATGAACAGGGTCGGGGGATTGATTCTGGCCGGGCTGAGTCCGAACATGTCTGTGCTCCTTCTTTTGTTTACATTGTGAACCGCCAATACACGTAGCCGGTTCCATGTGGCATTTCTCAACACCAAGAAGACCTAACATGGCGCGGTCGGTAAGCTGAGCCAAGACTCCCGACCACAAATCAAGAACGACATCGGCATTACCTACCTCTCTACGACGGCCGACACTTCATCGCCGTGAGTTACACATTGACATTCACTGCGGTCGTGGCCAGCGGAAGTTCAATCGTGAGGTGAAATCGCATGTCTGAATTTGTAATGCCGCATTGTGTACCGTGCTTACTCTCGAAAGGATCGCTAGCGCAGCCGGAACACACTGAGTTGATATAGAAGACAATATACGCCACTCAGTTACAAGTGCCTCGATGGTCTAGCGGTTAGCGTACCCGGATTTCACGCGTGGGTACCGAGTTCGAATCTCGGGGAGGCAGGAATTTTTTAGCGTGATGTCTGCAGGAGAAGAATTCGCCGCTGCAATCGCCAGTCTCACCAGCCTGCTGAAGGACCAGGCTGAGGCCGCCAACCAGCGGGAGCAGCGGATGGCCGATCTCGTCACCCAGGCTCTACGAGGCAGGCAAGGGAGCGCATCGGGAGACGGTGACGACTCCCAGACATCGGACACCACGAACAGCAGACCCCGCCTGCCGCCGTCAGCCACTCCAGCGCCGCGTCTGGTCTGTTCGGCCAGCCTCAGAGAGTTCTCGTCATGGCGTGAGAAGTATAAAGGCTACCGTCTTCTCACTGGCCTCGACTCCCTCGACATCCCTGAACAGCGGGCGGCCTTATTAACACTCCTTGACGACGAATGGACGCGTGTAATACGCTACTCGCTGGACGTGACAGACGCCACACCTATCGACACTCTGCTAACAAAGATGGAAAGTCACCTCAGGAGCCAAAGGAACGTCATCGTCGACAGAAAAGAGTTCCATACCAGACAGCAAGCAGACGGCGAGCCATTCGACGAGTATGTAATGGCCTTAAAGGAACTGGCAGAGTTCTGCGACTTCTGCGTCCACTGCGCAGACGACCGGCTCCGAGACAGGATCGTGACGGGCATCAGATGTGAGGAAACAGTGCGACTCCTCCTCGCCGAATCGTCATTGACACTGCAAAAAACGATCGACATCTGTCGGGCAAGAGAAAACGCGACGCAGGACAGTGAAGCGATCCGTGGTAGTCACGCTCGCCCCGTGTCCGCCTACCGGCAGCGACGAAGCCGGGACAGCAGAGCCGGCCGGAGTCACGGTCCAGACGCCCGAGACACGTACCGAGAAGGCCGATACGGACGGGACGGCCAGGACAACCGGGAGAGAGGCTATGATAACGACCGACGGGACTACCGATCTGCCAGCCGTGGCAGGCGATGCGGCTACTGCGACGGACCATGGCACACCAAGGAGCAGCTAGCCTCCTGCCCTGCCAGAGGCACCACGTGCCGATCATGCGGCATCAAAGGGCACTACACATCCGTCTGCAGGAGATCTAGGCGGAGGCACACGCGGTCAGGCTCTGAAGACAGCCAGACATCTGACGGACCCCACCTGAACGGCGTGCAAATCCTAGGCGTCACAGCAAAGAAAACACCGCAAGTCTCCCTCCTGGTTAGTCATCAGCGTGGACAGGGATCACTACTGTGGACGCCAGACACTGGAGCCGAAGTCTCTGTCATCGGCTCCAGAGAAGCGGAGCGGATTGGCATCGACACAGCACATCTGACACAGCCGGCAGACCGGCTCCTGGCCGCTGGAGGACACCAGTTGAAGTGTGCCGGCTCGCTCCAGTGCACACTCACCATGGGACAGCGCCAAACGTCCACCACCGTAACCGTCATACCGGGTCTCCAGGCAGCCCTCCTCTCATGGTACGACGCCATCGCCCTGGGGATAATCTCGCCGGACTTTCCGAAGCAGATCTACGGCATCACGGAAGCAACCGGAACGTCGCCTCCTGCTACCGGACACACGACAGCAGCGCCGGTAACGGCGCGCTCTCACACGGCGGTGGATGGCGACTCATCTCTCCCCACATGGGATCCAAGGAAAGGTGATCCGACTCCAGCACAGAGGCAGGAGCATCTAGACGCTCTGAAGAAGGCGTTCCCGATGGTGTTCAACACTCAGCCACCACTACGAGAGATGGCAGGCGGCCCAATGCGGATCGAACTAAAGCCAGATGCTCGCCCGTACGCGGTGACAGCCGCCAGAAACATCCCGCACGCATGGAAAGACGACATCAAGCGCCAGCTGGACGATCTGATCGCACAAGACGTCATCATGCCCGTGTCCCACCCGACCGAGTGGTGTCACCCGATGGTTCCGGTACCGAAGCCGCCGACAGACGGAAGCGGCGGCAAGACTTCCGTGAGGATGTGCGTTGATCTGACCAAACTCAACCTCTACGTCCGACGTGGAGCCCATCCTGTCACCACTCCTCACGATGCCGTCACCGGAATCGAGCAAGGCAGCCGATTCTTCACGAAGTTGGACGCGAAGTCAGGGTACTTTCAGATCCCGATCGCAGAGGAGGACCAAGACCTGACGTGTTTTATAACACCCTGGGGGCGCTTCAGGTTCAAGCGCGCCGTCATGGGCCTCTGCACGTCCGGTGACGAGTACGGACGGCGCGGAGACACAGCACTAGCTGGCGTGCCGAGAACGAGCAAGGTGGTAGATGACATCCTGGCATTTGACGACGACTACTCAAACCACCTCCAGCATGTTATCCAGATCCTCCAGCGGTGCGACAGCCACGGAATCACCCTCAGATGTGAGGTTTCCTAGTTAGTCGGGAGACGTTATTGTATTGGCATTTGCCATGGTGTTGGACCCCGCATGTTATTTCACGTGTTCACCGTTTCCATGGTTACGACTTTGGATTTGTATGAATGAACAGGGTCGGGGGATTGATTCTGGCCGGGCTGAGTCCGAACATGTCTGTGCTCCTTCTTTTGTTTACATTGTGAACCGCCAATACACGTAGCCGGTTCCATGTGGCATTTCTCAACACCAAGAAGACCTAACACAAACAACTTAAATATTTGTTATACCGTAAACAGACCATTGCGCCAAGACGAGAACGGTTACCTAGCAGATGTAGGTATATTTATTGTGTCCTTTCACGAGAATGTTGGATAAAATTAACTGAGAGGTTTAACATGTTGTGCGAGCTCACTGCTTGCTGTTTTTAGATGACCACTGTCACAGATATTTGACTAGCGTTTATCAGTGCAATCCCCGCTATAGTGAGTACGTTACAAGAGCCGTCATCGGATCCGCGGGGCGTCACACCGGTGAGCTAGTCTAACCGGTGTGTACTTGCCTTGTTACAGCGCTGTCCACCTACACGTCCAGCCGCCTGGCCACGGAGGAGGCCGCCGCCTTCCAGCTGGGTGTCACGCGCGCCTCGCGGCCGCCGGCGCCCTCAGTCCCGGCGCCGGCGCCGCCCTCCGCCCCCGCCCCCGCCCAGCCTGACGAGGAGGACGCTGCCTGGAGCGCAGAGACCACTGCTGACATGCTCTTCTGAAGAGGCCTTCCGAACATGTGCTGAGAAAGTGAGGAGGTGCGCAGTGGCACACGCTCAATGGCTCTGAGTTGAAGTCGAAGGCCGCGAAATTGCACGTCGCGTTACCGTTCGCAGTGCTTTGAGCTTGTGTTACTCATTGACGGGTTGAACTCTCCTGGTGAGTGGCGGCGAGAGGAATGCAGAATGCCCCCTAAACTATGCAAAATGGACATGTTCATGTGTAAAAGGACACGTAGAGTCATGCAGAAAGAGCATCTCCGTCAGGGTCGTGTGCTTAACCCGGCGGCCGCTGGGCCTCCGCGCCACCCGCCGGCCGCTGGGGGGGGGGGGGCATAAAGTTGCCCCCCCTTTACTTCTGCGACGATATCGTCGCAACGCGAAGAGATAGAGAAGCGAAACTTTGCACACATCTTCCTGAATACCTAGCCGAGGTTGTGTCCAAATTTGGTGTCGATCCCATTTGAAATGACGTCACAGTGACGTCATAAGTGAAATTATAGATTTGCGACTCTCATATTCCTCACGATACATCACATATATGGGACCGAATATAAAGGGCCGATTATTGGTCAGAAACTAGATGGAAGTGTAGTAAGATGTTTTAGGATGACAGCAGGTGCTGTCTAGTTCATTTACAGTCGAGTTTCATGCTTAGCGTCATCAGAAACGGTCCATATCGGAAAACGACAAAAATTTATGACGTCACTGTGACGTCATCTTAGGTGCTACAACCACCAAACTTTCCTCAATCATTGCCTAGGTATTCATTAGAAGCTATGCCAAGTTTCACGTTCGTAGCTCATCAGGGTTCGGAGATATTTCACAAAACGTAAAGGGGGGGCAACTTTATGCCCCCCCAGCGGCTCGTGGGTTAATTGCCAGACAGTATTCGTCGTATGACGTTTATACTGCGTGTCAGACGATGGATGCCGAAGTGATACGTGTGTAGGTACTGAGATTTTGTGTTCGTAGCGTAGCTTTGTTATACGTACGCTTGTATATTTGTTGTAAGTATGGCTGATCGTGAAACTGGCTAACTTATTTGAGCACTTATTCCACGGATAAGAACGCTTCAATGACTATGCAAACATACATGGGTAGATTCGCTTAGTCATACAGTTCCTTTTGTGTTCCGAGCAGCGGCATCCTCACATCCCACGCGGAGACGCAAATTTGTTGTATAATCTCGCTACACGTGCCGGGCTGGTCCAGTGACGTCACCAATCGGTGACCAATGCCGAGCGAGACAGATAGCTGCCGCACGTCACGGCAGCGGCTGAGGCGATAGCGGGCGTGCCATGGTGACGGAGCACTTACGCGGGACTGATTCTGAGATCATACAGAAATCGGACGCAGCGAACAAGACGATTAGGAGAGAGTGCTCTTGAGCCTGGACATGTGATATTACCAAATTCGTTTTGCGTTGTATTGTGATAAAATGCATTAAATATATTCCCAATGACGATTGTTTATAGGTACAGAAGTTATAAATCAAATTTGAAAGTTAACCAATGGAGCCAGTGTTTTTATTCTTTGGAGCGCTCTTGCGAGGAACATTATGTATATTAGAGAGAGAAAATATATGAAAAATTGACCTCTCCTCGACATTTAAAATTATTACGAGCGAGCGAGCGCAGCGAGCGAAGCGAAGTCTTTTCAATATAACGGAAAAATCTCAGTATGAGCGGCCCGGCCCGGCCCGGCCTGTAACGCTTTTGATAGGCTTATATCTCAGCAACCACTGGACCGAATGGCCTGCGGTCTTTTTTGCTGGGTAGCCCCATCCCTTCTACCCCGTAATTGACTACTTTTGATACATCTTAGTGACCGCCGTGGCACGTGCCACGTGAAAGGTCAAGGGTGTTCAAGCAGTTTTGCAAAAGTAATGATTTTGAGAGGCCCATATCTCAGCAGCGGCTTGAGCGATTGTCTTGCGGTCATTTTTATAGGGTAGCTGCATCCCTTCTACCAAAGGTCGGATACTCTTCATCTATGTGAGTGACCCCCACTGCACGTGCAAAATACAACAATAAGAGGTGCCAAATTTGTTCCCTTTTCAGTAACTCGGTAATTACTGGGGCGACTTCGCTGAAACTTGGTATACAGGCAGGCACCCACCAGGCAATGCATTCCCATGTGTTGCGGTTAGGGTGCTACTGCACGTGCGCACGTGCAGGGGGCGTTTCCAGATCTCGAGAACGGCTGGGCCGATTGCGCTCAAATTTGGTACACGGTTGGGGACCGGTTAGTAGGGTGCCGTGCAAAAGTCATTTTGGACCCCATTTGCACGTGCGCACGTGCAGAATGCCGCTTCCAGATCTCAGGAACGGCTGGGCCGATTGCGTTCAAATTTGGTACACCGCTGGCGACCGGTTAGAAGGGTGCTTTGCACAAGCCCGTTGGAAGTACCCTCTCGCCCTTCTGCACGTGCAGGGCTCACTATCTCGCTCGCTCGTTCTTCGCCCAAAAGGCGTTTTACTGGTTTGAATAGCCAAATATTACTGTATTGATATTTCGACCAACAGGGGCCGTATTCACGTCGACTTCGTAAGTCAATTTTCGTTCGTAAGTATTATTTGGTATTCACGTCGACACTTCTTAAGTTTTTTCTTACGAAATGTCTGGATATCTACGAAAATCGGTATTCACGTCAAAATTCGTAGGAATATCCTACGAAATTCTTAAGAAGTATTTGGTGCAATGACCTTTGCTTTAATCATTGAGTACTGAGGGAAAAAGCGGGAAAAAGCATAGAACAAATAGTGAGAAGCAAACGGAACGCACGACATGAGAACAGCATTGTTTATAAGATCCCCTGTCTTGGGTGTTCCAAGCCATACTATGGCGAAACCGGTCGCGGTTTGGATATACGGCTGAGGGAACATCGGAAAGATATACAATATCAGAGAGACAAAACCATTGTGAAACACACTCATGAATGTGGAGCATTGCCAGACTGGAGAGCGGCTAAGAGTGTCAAAGAAAACATTGACAAAATGACAAGGATAGCGCTCGAGGCGGCCATTCTTGAAATAAATGAGTGCATGAACCCCAAAAGTGGTAGGATAACATTAGCCGAGACAGCCGCAAAATTGATTCTATCTGTTCATCAACTGTAAAATTCTATGTGTAGGTATATACATTGTACATGTTATTGACGAGATAGGTCACGACTGAGTGTTGAACTTCTCCCCAGTGAATGTAATGCATTGAGATGTCCACGTGAAATGTTACCGTAGGTTTTCAAGTGTTTTGGATTGAACATGGTATTTTGTGTCATTTATTTAGGACCAACTGATGACGATATTATCGAAACGCGTTTTGGTCCTAATATAAATTATTTTGAATAATTGACTTTTGCCATTGAGATTTAGGGATCCTCCTTGTAAGGATGTACACAGCTATTCATATATTTTTGAATTTCATTTTATTGGAACCAGTAGGACGCCTTTTGGGGGCCACAAACAAGCCAGCGCGAGAGTGCATGGAGACCCACACATGCACTTTGCAGAAGTGCGAGGGGAATCCAAACCCTGGCGGATCCGGGGGCATTACGGGCAAATAAATGCCCCCTCCCCTCCGCAGCGTCTGAAATCGACGAGTATTCGCGTTTTTTTCCGAGAATAATACAAAAAATATATATTAAGAAAAGTTTGTTTAAAACTGCATAGCAGTGGGTAAGGATTCGAAACCTGACAAGTTTTTGGAATTTGGAGAGAAATGTTTTGAGGGGCATGCCCCCCGCAGCGTCCAAGACCACCTTTCTGGATCCGCCAGCGCTTCCAAATGTTCCACTTCCAAAATGCGCCTCTGTTCTGTGGGGGGAGGGGGGCGCTACTGTTTTGCTCGCGAAAGTTACGTTTGATTAGTTGAGCGTCAAACACTGTGTGTGATTTAGATATTCATTTTGGGCAGTGTTTTAGAGGCGCGATTGCGTCAGCTGGCCGACGCGTGAGAGAGAGAGAGAGAGAGAGAGATACGGTGTATTTAGTTCATGGCTGCGAGCATTTGCCCATATAGCGCATGTGATAACAGTACAGCAGTTTTGAGGCACTGCAAATAAACAAATGCAACTACATTGGCGCAATTACGATAACAGTAGCGTACAGGCCATATTCTATCTGGACGACATGATATCCAGGTTAATGAGCGAGGTCATATGTGGAATGCATGACCTCCTCAGGCGAGTACCACAGCAAAACGTTTCAAGAGTGTTAGAACTTCTCGTTTCTCTGCCGGATATCGAGCCTCTCGATTTCGGGAATAAGTCTTGATGTGCTATCGACTTGAGCATCTGTTTACCGAGTCTTAAACATAAAGTCTGTCTTCTATTAGCGAGTGTTTCCAGGTTAAGGCGTTGTAAGATGTCCTGGTAGCTTTCATCGTATCCGGCGATTATTTTGACGGCCCGTTTTTGTACCTTTTCTATTTTCTGAGCCTGTTGAACAGTTAGTCCGGCGTGGAATACAGGGGCGCAGTACTCGAGCAGTGGCCTTATGTATGTGGTATATACCTTAACCAACTGCTCTTGTGGCGGCCGAAACCTCTTCATTACATGCAGCATGTAGAGGGCTCGGGATCCCTTGGACACAATGTTATCAACATGTTTCTGCCAGGACATGTCACCGGATATCGTGATCCCAAGTAATCTTGCGTGGTCAGTTGTTGGTATACTGCTGCCATTAAGGTCTATATCCGGTAAGATAATAGGCTTTTTGGCTGTGTAGAAGTGAAGAATCTGACATTTTTCTGTATTCAGCACCATCTTGTTCGTGTTGGCCCATTCCGACAATTTATCCGTTACTTGCTGTAGGGTGCATTCTTCATTAAATTGATTCACAGAGCATGCTTGGAAGACTGTTAAATCATCTACATATTTAAGCCTCCTTTCGTCTTGGACGGCGGCATCGTTTATCATAGCCAGGAAGGCTACTGGTCCCACTAGGGTCCCTTGTGGCGCCCCACAGGTTATGGGGCTCCACATTATCGTGGCAGGTATA